TCTCACCGAGGTAAAAGTCACCGAAACCCTGAACCCCTAAACCCTAAACTCTAGGTATACTTGGGTTAGAGGTACCAGCGCCTGTAATCGCGACATCTGCTTGGGTCGCCAGGGGCCACTTTTGGGGGACCCTCCCATTTCGCTTCTGCAACATGTATGAGTCCCCATATGAGCTATATAGTCTACACCCCTGAAAGGGGGTTTTATAGGGGGTTATATGAGGGGATATTCTAGGGGTTACGAAGAGGGATACTAGGAGTTTAGACTATAGCTCATATAGAACAGAAAAAGGCGCTCGTAGTGTTAGGGCGCCTAACTCCTCAAACTTAAGTCCAATTCAGTCACAGGTGGGTCCCGCCCATCCTTCCTTGCCTTAACTATTCCGTTGAAAGCCTGGCGACATAGTCGTCCTCAAACGCAGCCTGGTTGGGTTTTAGGGCTGAGAGGTTTGGGAGTTGGGGTTTCGGGCTTATAGTGGCTAAGGGTTCGAGGCTTGAGGGTTTACTGCACTGAGGGGTTTTGGGATGTGTAACGTGGATCGTTGGGGCCGAGACGACTGCATGAGACTGTATGTTTCTGGATGCATTGCCAAGTTCTAGCAAGTCCTTCTTTTTGGGTCCCCGTAAGTGAGCGCCCTGCAAGGATTGCGTGGCTTCGTCAGGGTCTCCACAACGCTCATCCTATGAAGAAGGCTTTAAACAGACCCTCACAAGCCCCTCTCTTGTCTCCCAACCGGTGCCCGGTTTTTGTTTGATCCAGTGAGAAGAATTTAAGCCCTTATCCTCGATCCCTAAACTGGAACCCTAAGCCCTAAGACTGAATAAGCCCAACTGCAAAACCCCTGCCTGAATCCATTTAGGGGGGATCTCTGCTTGCCGGTGCAGGTGGTAGGGAAACTATGGCCTGCCTTTACGGGTTTTGAGGGTTTACGGGTTTATAGGTTCATGGGTCTAGGGTTTGTGGGTTTATAGGTGTATGGGTCTAGGGTTCAGGGTTTATGGGTTTCATGAGGGTGCAGGGCTTAGTCTTTAGGGTAGGCACATAAGGGATGCATGGAGACTATAAGCGGACTCGGCGGCTTTTGACCAGGCATTGTTTTGCAAGAAGCCCAAATGAGGGTTCATCAAAGAGTTCAAAACCCACGTCAGACAGCGATCCCTGCAATAAGCCTATCTTCCGAAACCCAACTCAGCATTGATGAAACGACCAAACAGTATTGAACCAGCTTTTCAAGTTCTTATCTCTTCAGCCACATGTTCAGAAAAAGGGTTCCTTGCTACGGGAACCTTCTCCAGCGTGAGTCCTGATATCGTGACCAGGTTGCTTTTTCCAGGCTCTTTCTGTGAACTTTTCCGTACTTGCCTACCGCAGGCGCCAGAAGAGGTCGTTGGCGTAGAGTCAGGGCACCTGACTGACACTGATCCAGCACCCTTAACAGGGACCCTTAGAGGGGACCCTTAAACCCTGAACCCTAGGCTCTAAACCCTAAGCAGTACACCCAGCAATAAGATAACCCATTCTAGTACATACATGTTCCCCATATACCTGGGCAGTCCCCAAACCCCCGTTAAGGTACAGGGATCCTCATTAAGGGTCCCTCCGAAAGCTTTTGGAGTTGATAAACCATCATAAACCTCAAGGTCAGGGACTCTGAAGCCTACTGTAAGGCCTTCAAAAAAAGATCAAGAGTATGGTGGTAGGTTCATTGTAGAGGATGGTGTAGGGTGCCTTTGATAGGCCAGATAGGCATCAGAATGACACTGGTGATTATTTAGGCCTCTTCCCTAAGGGTCCAAGTACCTAATAATCATATACTTACCCCAAACCTCTACCAACATGATCCCCAAACCTGAAGCCTTAAACCCTAAAACCTAAGCAGAACTCTTTTCGTTCGTATGTCTACCTGGGGCGGCGTAAGGATGAGATAAAGCTGTACATTACTGGGGTGCCGTCAAGGAACTTAATTTAAGTTACCATAATGGGTATATATAGTAACTGATATTGTTTCCCAGGATAGTAACTTAAACTAAGCTCCTTAAATCTCTATATTGCCCCAGTTTCCATTTCATATTCCATGTGCTTTTCCATTTGGTCCTCCATTATAGGGGGGCAACATTGTAACTTGAACTAAGTTGCTTGACAGCAACCCAGATTAGCGCTGTCAAAGTGACAAGAACGCCATCCTTATCGTCAGGAACCTGCTTCAGCTGTTTAAGGTCTAGGGTCTAGGGTCCCTAATCCCTAGACCCTAAACCCTAAAAGGGTTTAGGGTTGAGGCTTGGCACCAGTAAGAAATTCAAAGAACACCTTGGAATGGCCCGATCGTTTGTAGAAGCTCTCCAGACAACTGGCTGATGGTGTGGCTTTGTGGGTAACATATTAGGGTTTAGAGATTAGGGTTTAGGCATAACCCCTAAACCCTAAACCTTTAATGGAGCCTCCCCACACATAAGGACCTGAACCGGGTGACTTTGGGGCCCGTGCTGCCATCGAAAACCTATGTCCGAAGGTGCCAAACGCATAAAGAACAGTTGCGGCTCTTCCCTCATACCGCAGCAACAGAGGATTTAAGGTTAAGGATTTAGGGTTTATGATTTAGGGTTTAGAGTTTAGGGTAGTCTAAGTATGAAGCAGCAGCAGCATTTGATAATTTCCCAAAGGAATAAGCTCCAAATACTATGGTCCTTTTACCTTGGGGGACCCCCAAAAAGGTAGCCCTAATTTTCAGGAAGCCTCCATTTTAGTCAAAGCTCACCTAAGCCCGGATCCCCAAACCCTAAACCGCACAAGTCCGGATAATCATTTGTACGGTTTGTTGTCGAAGATGCTACGAAGAAAATCTGGTGCAATATGCTAAAACCTCAAAGCCCATATGTACTATAGTCTAAACTCCTTAAAATGGGTTGTTCACAGGATTAGATAGGGTTCAGGGTTTAGGGTCTAGACTCCCTAGAGGGGGGTTATTTAAGGGATTATATAAAGGACATTTTAGGGGCTATTGAGAGGGCATCCTAGGAGTTTAGACCAAAGCTCATACCCTAACTCTGGAAACGCCGACGCCTCGAGAGCGCCGTGGTCCAGGCAATCGCAAGGCCGTAGTAAGTCGACCTCAGAAGGTGAGTTTGGGCTCGGTGCAGGGGTGCATAAGTAACGTAGATGCCCAATAAAATTCCCTCATAATCTTTTATTTTCAAGCATAGTAGCATGCATCCACCAAACCTATTTTAACTATTTAGGCCTCCAAAGCAGGGTGTGGGGTCTTGGCTCTTGGGACACCAACGTTGCTATGGTTTGGGCATGGGTGCTCTGGTGACCGTATGCTCGTCAAACACGACCATTACAATGGTCGGGCATGGATGCTCTGGCTATCGTACGTATGCTCTTGGAACACGAACGTTATTTAGGTTTGGGCATGGATGCTTCTAGTGACCGTATGCTCTTCAAACACTCACGTTATTGTGGTTTGGGCATGGGCGCACTGGTAATCGCATGCACTCGAACATGGACATTATTTTGGTTTGGGCATGGATGCACCGGTAATTGGATGAACTTTAACATGAACGTTATCCTGGTTTGGGTGGTAGTCGGGTGCACTCGAGCGCGCGACATGGATGCAGCATCCAATGGATGCAATCCAATAGAACTGTGCGCTTTGCTAGACGGAAAACGACCCCGATGGCTAATACTCGTACTAGTACTAATACTAGCATTAGTACAACTACTAGTACTACTGCTACTACTGCTACTACACTACTCGTACTAGTACCAGTACCAGTACTCCTGGAAGTCGTCGTCGTTGTCGTCGTCGACACTGGCAAGCAAAACTACCAAGTCGTAAGTAAAACGTCGTAAGTGACAACTAGCAACTAGCATGTAGCAAGTAGCAATTAGCAAGAGTAAGTAGTAATTAAATACGACGTACTAACTCGGTTGTGGTAGTGGTACTATTAGTATCAGCGTTAGCCGTAGTAGTAGTAGTAGTAGTAGTAGCAGTAGTAGTAACAGTCATAATAACAGTGATACTGATGACATTGCCATTCCCGTCGAATCCAACTGCACTGGATCTCCTTGAGATGCGGTACTTCCAAAACGAGGCGTACCCTTTGGATTCATCTGTGGCAGCTCCCAATATGGTTCCCGATTTGGGAAGCTGATCCGTATCCCGTTCTTTCACTGCACTGGCTTAGTCAGGGGTACTTAGATTGAGCTAAGAAGGGTGTGCCTGGACAGCCTGACTGTGAAAGATGCGTGCTCTGTACCGTAACATTCATGGGCAACTTAAGAAGCTTACACGTTAACAGTAAAAGCGTTATCAATAGGTAGAATTACTATCCAAATTCCTATTGTTATTGGCTCCGCCGGAGCGTAAACGCGCAAAACATGCATTGAGACGCAGCCGTTGGAGTCGGTTTCCGTCGCTTGACACTTGACACACGTGAAAGCGGCTTTTCAAAAAGGGGGCCTTTGGGAATTAGGGACACACAAGGTCCTCCCTTGAGGACTACATAGTCCATGGATGTTGGGGTAGATCCAGACAGTTGAAGATTCCCGTTTCGACTGCATTTCTGAGTTTGGAAGAGAGCGGTGTCAGTTTCAAGCCAGCCATTCTGGCTTCTGTGATTCGGCTGTGGAATTAAGGCTACTATGGTAGGTTCCCAAACCCGTAGTCACTCCTGGGTCCGCAGTAACTATGTCTAGTGGTGGGTGAAGGAGGTTGGAGGGGAATGGCATGCGGCCACCTGATTCCAACCACTGCCGATCGAGCTCTCCGACGAAGGGGCGGCTGGCTGGCCCGCCTCCTTCCGAGCGGGTACAGTCCGGGCGACCTTTCGGCCCGCAGGCTGAGACGGCCGGTCCGTAGTCTCGGAGCGATCCACAGCTTCACCGCCCCTCAGACTGGGCTTCCAAGCTGGGCTGTCAGACGCCAGCTTGGGCGGTGGACGCGAGGTCTTAGGAGGCGTCTGAGGCTGCTCAGAGCCACGTGACCTTGCCTGACCCGCCGGGCCGACTCTGCTGAGCCCGCCACACGGGGCTCTTGGCAGGCGAAGTAGCTGGAACAGGAGGTGGGCGCCTCCCTCCAGAAGTCCGGCAAGGTCGCCGTGGGCGGCACCACCGTGCCGGCCGCCTTCGGCGCCGGGACAGGCGGGAGAAGCCGCTCGGCAGCAGAAGCTCCAGAAAGAGCGGCGCCAACACTCCCTTTAGCCTTCTTCGGAGGCTTGGCAACACTTGCCTTGGCCTGCGCAGCCGAAGAGACAGGAGAAGGCGGCTTGGCCGTCACGGCAGAGGCCTCTGCCAGAAAGGCGGCAGAAGAACTGCCCGCCGCCTCGGCTACGGGCTCGTACCTTGTTTCAACCCCAGTAAGAAGCAGGACCCTGCTCCCTTCAGTCAAGTAGGGAACGGTCAGGAGGTCAAGCTTCTTGATCTTGATCAGCATCTTCTGCTGATTGGGGTTCTGAAGCCTCCACGCACCATCGGTTTGGTACGCGTACAGCGCACCAGCCCTGTCGCGGCCGATGTCGCCCGCAGACGGGGACGGAACAACCGCAGCTGGCGCTGGCTTCGGCGTCTCTGGCTCAGCCAACTCAGCGGGCGGTGGCTTGAACACCACCTTGGGCTCTGGCCGCAGGTGCATTGCACGCATGTGCAAGAGGCACTGTTGCCGCGACTCGAAAATGAGCCCGCAGGCAGAGCACGTCCACGTGCCCTCGCCTGTTGCCATAGGCCCACCGTGGCTGCCCAGCCCTTCGGCAGGCCCCCGTAATTTCTTCGTCTGCGCTGCTCTCAGCGACAACCGCGCAATCAACGCGGGCGATGAAATCATCGATCATCTCCTCTTTGACCGCTGAGGCCTTGGCAGCTGCCTTCGCTGCCTTCGCCTTGGCTTCGGCGATGGCCTCAGCTTGCGGCTCCGGAGAGGGGGCGCCTGAGGCATAGGCGCGTCGGCATCGGCAGCGCCTCTTCGTCCGGGAGAGTAGTCCGGAGGGTGCTCAGCCTCTGCGATCCCCGGCTCAGGAACCGGGTCGGCGACCAAAGGCCCGCCAGACACCGGACACCGGACCTGACGGGCTCAAGAAGTCAGAGGCCTGCTCCAGTGCCGAGCACGTCCTCCTGAAGGCGGCGCATCTCACAAAGCTCGCTCCGCTCCATAACAGGAGGCGTGACCAGTGGCTCCGGCTCCTCCGCAATGGGAGGCCCACGGGCGACGGGGCAGACCTCTCTGGATGTGGCCTGCGTGGCACGAACCACACATTCGAAGTGTGTCGAGGTCCAGAAATACTGCGTAGACCACACATCGCGTTTTTCCGTGTTCGACTGCGTACGATAACCAGAGTATCCATGCCCAAACCAAAATAACGTTCGTGTTCCGAGTGCATCCGATAACCAGAGCATCCATGCCCAAACCATAATGACGTACGTGTTCCGATCGGTGCGCGTTTACGGTCCGGCGGACCGTTGTTATTATCATTAGTAGTCATGGTGTCCGTAGTTGTACTGATTGAGTTGTACTAGTAGGTACCCCTAATCTTAGGAAACCCTAAACCCTATCTCACCCTATATAAGCCCTATATACCCCTAATTCTAGGAGGCCCTAAAACCTATATAATCCTATATAAGCCTGATATACCCCTAATTCTAGGAGACCCTAAACCCTATATAGCCCTATATAAGCCCTGTATATCCCTAGTAGTACGTTAGCTAGTCGCGGACTATCGCCATACTGAGCGCCTGTCCGTGTCTGCTTTTTGAGGTTTGTTAGGCAATCCAATCTGAGCGCCCTGAAGAAGGGTGGCTACAAGATTCGGATTTCACAAACGGATTGTTTTTTCTGTAGCCCATGCTTGGGCTTCAAGATCTGGATTCAGAGGCGGCCGGGTCCATGCTGTTTGATATTCCTTGGCTTGATCTCCGAAGCACAGTACGCAGAAGAGAGATACGCTGCGGCTGCTCCCAGTAGTTTTTTATTCCTTACATCTACCATGTACAGCGCTGTTAGAGAAACTCCCCTTTTTTCAGACTGCTAGGTCTTATTGCAGGGGTGTAAGGGCTTCCTTTGACAAGGGCTAGTAAACATGTCCAAGATACTTCTAGTACACATGGAGCTTGGGCTCTCTGTCCACATTATAATGGTGGTCACTGTATAGATATCTCATTTTGAGAGAACAGTAATTCAGTCCAAGTTTCGTTTGTAACGTAGTAGTAGTTCCAGTAGAAGAAGAAGAATCTGTAACATAGCGTTGGAGGGCAACGTCGTTAATCTGGGGTCAGGGCTCCCGGTTTGTGCAGCCGTAGGTAAACAAGTTTGGGCTTCACGCTCACAGTTTTGGCATCGCAGAATCCGGACATGTCTGGACCTTGTTGATGAGTGGCGATGGCAGAGCCATCTGCGGCTGGTCTTTGTAAGTTATCCGGATGTAAACAACTGACAAGGTCTCCCTCTTGAGTGCTCTCAAGATGTAAGTAGAGTGATACCTGGGTTTGACACGGATCTATAGGTTTGAGAGGGTTGTGGGAGGCAATTATGAGCCGTTCACACGCCGGAAGAAAGCATACTAGCATGATAGCAAAAAATAGTAGCAGACAAACCAGGAAAAGGAATAGCTGAGGTACTGCCCCGACTCATTCTTGCTCGGCCAATACTTCAAAGATAATCATGCAACGCCTCTATTCGTAGCCGTAACATAGACTGTTACTGGATAAGGGCAGTAGCTGGCTAATAGCCGTTAAAGTGACAATAGTCAGAATCATGATTGCAGTCCGCATACATGTCCCCCATTCAACAAGCACCCATGAACCTGCAAGTAGACGAGATATTATGTTCCCTGATGTGCACACATACGCATTCCCGCATAACTTTCTGCTCCACGCGTGAACCGCGTGAACATTACTTGCAACTGAACTCACAGTAGGCTAGGAAGGGTGGCTCTAATAATGAGTGGTTTCTAATAACATCACATAATTGTATCCGGGTCCCAATTCGAGTGGTTGCGGTCAGCGAAAATTTTTTGTCGCCCAAGCAGGAGATCGTCTCTAGCGTCGTGTTCAAACAGGTGGTGGGGTTGTTGACTGGGTTTGGGCCATCATTATGTCTACCTGTCAGAGCTGCTTGCGTCAGACCTGAGATTGCACCGGGAAGTGCGTTTCCTGATATGACCTGAACATGTCCCAATGTCGATCCTATATTCGCCAAGATTTCCTTGCGACGTGTCACTAAATGGTACTTTCCCAAATTAAGAGGACCCCAATATGGACTCCAAAATACTATGGTCCCTATTATAGGGACCCCCGAAAGGATACCCCTAATTTTGGGAAATTCCTAAATGCCAGGGGCAACTCGAAGAGTAGGGTTAGGTCTGAAGGTCTTCTTGGAGGGTCAGGGGGACTTAGCAATGGTAGAAAAGGAAATGGAAACTATTATAATAGGTTATATAGGGTTTAATTAAGGGGGGCTAGAAAGGGATAATGGAGAAGGAAATGGAAACTATTAATGTAGGATTTAGGGGGACGTAGCAGGCTGGTTAGTAATTGGCATAACTGGGTAGACCATATGGCTCATTGGGGTTATACGTATACTCACGAAGTCCCGCAAATCCCCGAAGCAGTATCCCTCGAAGCTCCACGGGACCTACTTGTACTTTACTTCAGGATGATGCCTCCAGTTACCTTTTTACAGGGCTCTGCACAGGTTCACGTTAGTAGCACCAATTGCAATAGTCAGAACAGTAATACATGGGTAACAGTATCAATAGCAGTAAGAACTAGCCAAATAGCCCATAAACTCTAAACCCCAAGCAATATAATTCCTAAACCCCAAGCCCTAAACCACAAGCACCAAGCCATAAGCACGAAGCCCAAAACCCTAAGCCCTAAACACTAAACCACCCAGAGAGAGAGTGGGAGACCCTGGTTTATTTCTCATCTGCTTGATTTTCCAAGTCTCTCTTCGGAAAGGCAACCCGTGGGGAAAACGACTTGCACCGGCAAAAGGGCCAACAATAAAAACCAGGGTTTAGGGTTTAGGGTTGTCACTAGAACCCTAGGGCTCCATGTCTATAAATAATACCTACATTGGGCCCCAAAGTCTATAAATATGACCTACATTGGGCTATTTGGAGCCTTAGGGGAAGGCCTGTTCTTTGGTATTTGGGTGAACTCTTTTAGGGGTACATAAGGCAGCGGAGCACCTGAACCTTCAACGTGAATCCCTCGTGGTGCACAGTGGGGCCCAAAGGAAGTAGTCCACATAAAGTTGAACCTGTAGGAGGAATTGATTTTTCGGCAGGGAAACCCAAGTACCAGGCAGTATCTTACGTATACTCTCTATTATAGTAGATAACTGATAACTCCAGGGTGCCGTAGAAACCTTCCTACTTACCTTTGGTTAGCAAGGTATGCAGGAACTGACCTTGATAGTAGTCCCTGTACATAATATACCCCCCCAAAATGAGGTAGCTTCCATTTTTCCATTCCTTGGACTCCATGCTAACTAGAGGTAAGCCCAGCTTTTGAAGGTTCGGCATTGCATGGGCCGTAAATCCTAAACCCCAAACTACGGGTCTCATGCTCGGTGCCGTACGTGCAACCCGAGCCCAAAATGCAGTCATTTGCCTGCTAGAACATTAAGGGTCCAAGGACCCAAAGAATACCATTAACATAATAGTATTTGGGCCCTAAATAACACCCTATATGGTTTGTGTCCTTGGAGCCTTAGGGAATGTTATTTTCTTGCTTCCTGCCAGCTGGCGTGGTCTGCTTGACTGTGCGCTGTTCTTGTTGTCCTGGAATCCAACACAAAACGGCCATTATCCTACATACTTTCGGGGTGCAGGTTTTAGCAACAAGAAATAAGCTCGTATGGTGGGTGGTTTTTATTTCAAGCTCAAGGTGCTTCGAATGAAGAGAGTTTCTCCATCTACAGACTGCCTAGGGTACTGGTTGGGATCAGGGCTGTGCGGGACTTGTTTCAGTCCGTTCCCAGCTATACCCGAAGCTTTAAACTGTAAGCCGTCAACCCTTAAGAACTACAATGCATGCAAGAGGGTCTAAAACTCTAAACCCTAAACCCTGTCTAATGCTTTACTGATGGCTTGCAGGGACTGGAGGAACAGGATATGGCAGTTTCCCAAAATGGGAGGACCCCAATATAGACCCCAACAATGTTTTACTCGTTGTTTTCGGGATTCTAAAACGGGTATATCAGGGTTTAGTAATGGTAGGGTTTAGGGTCTAGTGGCTTGAGGACCTGAAGAAAGAGCATCTGAATCTGGGGATTTCTGTAGGATGATATGGGGACTGCTGTAGGGATCCGTTCCTCTTCTCTCTGCTAAGCACACGTAGGGTTAGGCTTTCGGGAGCTTTCAAGATGAGCTTGACATAGTTCCCAAAAGGGAACCCTGCAATCTTTTGAAGTAACGTGGTTTAGGGTTGAGGGTCCCCAATTACTGCGGCCACGGTCACAGACCGCAATGCTTAAGAGCTCCAGCATGCTGCTTGATTGCAACGGCCGTCCTGTTGTCAGCATCTACTGCCACTGACTGGGCTTTCTTTGAATGCAATAGACCTTTCAGAGCCACTCAGAGAAGAAAAGCGAAGCTGAAGTGGAAAGTGCGAGTATGTAGGGGTTTATAGGAGTCAGAGTTTACGCGGTCAACGCTGGGGATTTTAATGCTTTTGGTGGCATCGGTTTTCTTTTGTACTGCAAGAACTTATATTCTTTCAAAGGTAACAAGGGCTAGGCCCAGTCTAGCAGAATGTTTGTTTCTACAGCATTTGGGCCGGAGAGGTACCGTACTCTGGCAGCCCTTTATGTCAAGTTTTTCCGATGCTCCCCACAGATTCTTGGGTGGGTCGG